AGTAATGTTAGCCTAAAGCCTATTTAGGTATTTAAGGTTTCTCAATAAGCTTTATTTTTTAATATAGCTGTTGTACTAGATATGACTAAACAGCTAAGTCTTAACAGTCATGAAGCAGAGTAAGCTTTATTTATTGACAGCAGTGTTGCAGGAAGCTCACCAGGCAGCTGGTTGATCAGCTCGCAGCACTGTTACTTTACTGACCCTTGTGGGACCTGGGACCTGGCGTGCCTACAATGTGTTTTTAGAAAAGCTCAGTGGGAATGTGTCTAGAAAACAACATAAAAATCAATGGCAAAATATTCTTGTGAAAACTCGTATACAGTAATTTTAAATACACTGAAAACCTTGTTCTTCTCTCTGCTTTATTCATGGCAAACTATTGTTCTTCTAGAAATAATAAGGCTTTAAATGCTGGTAGTTTGTGATACTCTGCATTTGTTTGATGATTTAGCTAAAGCAACAGACATCTAAAGGTGCATCATTTACTGGTGACCATAGTAGAAAAATAACATACCCTTTAGCCTAGTATATATTTTTCTTGGAGACTCCTAGAAAGTTCAGCTTCCATTCAGCCGTTGTTTTCTGCAGCTGTACAGCTGCTTTCTGTCAGCTTTCAAGAAAAACTTTGTGCTGAGCTTTGCTATATACCTTAGCGTAGATATTTTTAATGCATAGATGTCTTTAAAAGCTTTTTTTTTTTTTTTTTCCAATAGCTTGGCAGATAGTGCTGCAATACTTTATTATACTTGTAGTTTCAATGAGAATGTTCTCTAAAGGCTGGTGGCTCCAGCTGATCCACTGAATGCTGAGCACAGATTTATAATTCAGTGGCGTGGGGGAGGGCCACATTTGCCATAGTGAACGGCAGGGCACCACTTACTGCATGTTGCTTAATCAGCATGAAACTATTAGCAAAATTCTTGCCACCTCAGCTATAATATACTACTAATAGTTTGGGGTGGTGGGTTTTGTGTTTTTTTGTTTTTTTTTTTTTTTTTTTTAATTGTATAGGATAGTCAGAAAAAGCCTGGAATGTTTTAGTAATTTTAAGTAATATAACATTCCTCTCAATGAAGTTTGACAGCATTTTCTAAACTCCCTCATGCTGTATAACAAGAGTACCAGAAATGCATTCCTGTGTACTAGGTGCTGGTAATTTATTTGTGTCTTTTCCTAGTTAAAGTTTTCTTACATGAAAGCTTTTGACATAATTTTGAACTCTAATGTATTATATAAGAGATTACAGGCAACAAAAGCATCTGTATAATTAGTACATTTTAACCCATGCTCTTGATTTTGTCAAAGTTTTATATTTGTCAGAAGACTTTGTAGATCTTCAGTCAAAAGAAAAACCCCAAAACTTTTGTGAGCTTTCTGTTGATTTTTTTTTTTTGTTTGTTTGTTTTTAAATTACCTCCCACCCCCAGCATTTTAGAATGTGCTTTGTAATCTGGGGTATGCAATGCACAGGGAGTGCAGTGTGGCCTCTTTTACTGAGACCATCAGCAGGAAGTTTCAGAGAACTCTCAGGGATTTGGATATCTGAATCTGACTTTTTCTTTTCTGCCTGTTGTTTTAGAGGCAGTATTCATTTATATTTTTTCTTAACGGCAGTTTAACTTCATTTTCCTGATAAATCGGAATGGATCTCTGATACTTAGGGATTGGGACGAGTTTCATTTTTAGTTGTCAGCAGTGAAAAATGGTGTTGCATGGCAGAAATCCAATTCAATTATGTCAGTTTATTTTACTACTTTTAATAATTTGTGAATGAGAATTTGTGTCTTAAATCATGGGGGAAGTGGGAAGGGTCACTGTGTTTTGCTACTTCCCATTTTGCTACTGGACAGACTGCACGGGCAGTCTGTGTGGTGGGCAGGGACGTGGCGAAGAATGTAGGTTCTTATTTTTATTGCAGGGCCTGGTTCACTCTATGGCTGCGTTCACTTGTTTCTCTCTTCCACCTGAGTGTCTTATCTTGCTCCTGGAGCCATACTTTGAGAGAGGTTTTTACAGTCTTAATCCAGCAGTGCTGTTCATAGTCAGAATGGCTGTAATTTGATGTAGAACCGTGCATGGGAAGAACAGATGCCATCTTTATGATCAGTGCATCTTTAGCAGACCCTGTCCAGATTGATCCAACTGTGGCAGCAGGCCTTTGGGGATGGAGCGTTTACCTGAAATATCAAAATACTTGATTTCCATCCTCCTTTATTTCTGGCAGGCTATACCTTCTTGTTTCAGCTTGTCATAAGAGGTCTTTCATCCTATGAAAACTTTGTTTGAGAAGGACCTGCAAACAAGCAGGGGGATTCCTGTTAAACATTTAACTATGATTAGTTGTTGATACTTGTCTGAAGGAATGAAACCAGCACAGAAAGCCAGAATACGATTTTTTGATTTTTTTTTTTTGTTGCGATTTTTACTTTTGTGTCCTGTTACTTACACAGTTGACTTTTCCAGCACACACAGCATTTTATGTTGAACAGATAGTTCCAAGACTTTAAGTGACAAGTTTCAATCTAGGATGTCAAGTGTTAGGTAGTGGCCTAATTTTTTTTCCTTTCTTTTTCAGTTACCAAAGTAGTCAAAGGTATCAGTGATAATTGTTGTGACTGTAGTCTGATTTATACTGAGAGTTGTAGAAAGAGTTAAGTGGAATAGAGGAAATATTTCTGTCAACCATGTTAATTATCAGTCCAATCTGTAAATGTTTTCATCTCAACATACCCCCCTAAAATAGGTACTTAAAAAAAATAAAATATCCTGAACTATGTTATGGGGAACTTGGCTGACATCTTGTGCTGTTTTACCTTCCTTTGTTTTAGTTTCATATCAGTGTACAGCTGGAAGTACTAAAATGGAACCATTTTCTATTAAGTAGATCTGAGGAGTCAGAAAATAAAAAATATATTTTAAATTGATTATTGAAAGCTTGAAGAGATGCTAATTCTCAAAGCACCTAATTTCTTATTTAAAATTGGGTAGCTTTTCTATGGAACGGACCTGTAACCTCTTGATTCTCATGGACCTTGACCACTAATCCATATGGCTGTCTATTCTACTGTAGTCATGCTAGCCTGGCAGAGGGTATGCTTTCAGTGTTTTGTGTTTTTCCTTTGTCATAACTTTTAGTTGAACCTTAAAGTTTAATTTTTTTTTTTAACAGGAATTGCTCAGTAGCTCATGTAGGATATAAGGGACCATTAGAACCTGTTCTGACACCTCTTTTGTAATGCATACCGGGGAACATAATACAGTAATTATCTGTGCGAAACCTGTAGCTGTTACGTTTAAGGAAGACTGTTGGAAGAGGGTAGATACTCAGATTTAGTTTTGGCTTTTGAGAGTGGATGGCTGTACCAAGCTTCTGGGGATAGGCTTAGTCCAGTGTTGAGGAACTCATTTGTTGTTCTTTGAATATTCTGGCACACACTTTAAAAAAAAAAAAAAAAAGGGTAGGTTTCTAGGCCATGTGACACTGCCTTAGTTCCTGCACTGATTATTTGAGATATGATAGACATCCTATAGGCTGTATGCACTGATGCTATCTTGTGGTTCTGAATTACTGTAGCATGCAATTCAGATTCTTTTTTTTTTTTTTTTTTTAATCCTAATGGCCACATTGAAATTTTGAGCTGCAAAAATTACAACTAACTGCTTCTGAACAGATAAATACTGAAGTTTAGATTGCACTGCAGTTACTCAGAAGCTTAAAAAAACCAAGTAAAAGCCCCAGAGCCCCAGTTCGCTTAAATTGCATTTTGTAATACAAAATAGCAAGCTTGTTTCATCATTTGCTTATTTGCAACTTCTCTGGGAAGACAAGTGACTTGAAGTTTCCTGTCAGTGCTGCAGCTGTGAAAGCGAACCAGGGGGAAGTAGCCACAGGTCTCACTAAAACTGTCCTTCATTAAACATGTGGGGTTTGCCATCTAAATTGTAACATTTTTTTAGTATTTTTTATTTCCAAGTTGTACCTGAGAATTGACTTACTGGTTCAATTTAAGAGCTGTGAAGTGATAATTGTGTCAAAGAAGAATAATTGAAGCATAAGCATTTTCAGTTGTCCAGTCCATTTTGAGATATTGTTTCAGGTGACTTAAATTATGTGCTGGAAAGCTTTTTAGTATAGAGATGATTTCATTGCCTTTGTGACTGTCTCTGAACACAGCAGTGGGTTTGTCCTTTGTTGAACGTACCTGCTCTGGAAAAGTCTGTATTAATCTCACAAAATATAGTGTTGTATATATTTTCCTGTCTGATTTGTTTTGCATTTTACTAATTTTTTGGATTAACCACCTCGGTGAACAGGACAGAAACCACTATGGGGGTTGATGTGACTGAGTGAATGGGGGCATCTCCTTATTTTTCTGAAATCTGAGAAGCTCGATTCTCCAAAACTCACCTCTTGGATCTCTGGGAACGTCTGAAATTGGAAGCATAACTAAGCCCCGTGGAAACTTCTTGCTTTATCTATGTCAGTTGTGTTACAGGTTGAAAAAAATTGTTCTCAGCTTTTTTTTTTTTTGAGTTGGGAAGTGGGAAATGCTGCCTTTCCTTACTGGTATGTTTCTGAATGTTTTATAACTCTTCTGGGTTGTAACTTATTTTAAGTATTGATATACCCAGGAGGTTTGCAGAGATACAGCATCTTTTCTTGCTTAAATTAAGATATTCCCACCATACTTGACCCAGGTTTTTCCACTAAAAATTAATACTATTAATGTTGGCTTTTTTAATTTTGCAAGAGTGACTATAAGTACTCTGAACAATATACTGTTCCTATTTTTCTTAAAGAAAAATAGAATAAAAATTGCTAGACATAGCAATCCAGCATAGCTAAGATTATATGTTAGCCATTTGCCTCACTACACTTCCCATTCCCTCTCATTTGATGACAACTGTGGCAAAAGTAACCCTTTTCTTTCTAGTTAAGTAAGGTAATATACTAGATGCAGAGTGATGGGCGGCTTTTTTTGTGCTTGTCCACACAGACTGGCAGAAGACCTTCAGCATTGCCAGAGCTGGTGAATGCCTTACTGGTAAGTGGGCAGCTCACGCCCTAGTCTGTACAACGGCCAAGTTCCCAAAGTGCTTATTTTGCAGTTACCTTGGTTTACCTGTTGCCCGAGATAGTCATAAGGAGTAAAGCATAGCAAGTTTTATCTTCTGGGTGCAGCAGCCATCAGTATAATACCCTTTTTCCTGTGGCTGGAAGGGTTTGGGTGGCTGTGAGGAAAATGTTTTATTTTATGTTGCATATATAAAGTATTGCATTTGTTACATTTTATGTTAAAATATTTTCTGAAAATACTAACAAAAACACTTTATTCAGAGATATTTTTTTTTGTCTCCAAGCGGAGGACTTCAGCTAGTGAGAAAAGTTGTATTTCTTCACTCCTGTCATTCATACTACTACTGTGATCTGTACTCTGAAGTGACAGGAAGAGTTGTCCTTATTCCGCTTAAAAATCTTTGTTATTTTGTGTCTGAACTACTTGAGGTACTTCTTTCTTCCTTTGGCATGAGGCCTTTTATACTTAAGGTATGTTCTTTAATGCTCTGATCACTATGGTACTATATTGCTTGTTCTTACAGGCTGTTGATTTTTTTCTTTTTAATGACAAAGCAAGGACTGAAGCCCAGCATTCCAGTTGTGCATACTTGTATAATAAAACAGCTTCTTATTGTACATTTTTAATAGCTTGCTCCATTTGTTTCTAACCTTAGAATTGAATGTGCTGCTATTCAAGATGAGGGTTACAAATTTGTGAAGCTATATAAAACCATGTGAGTGATTAAAAATAGGGAACAGCATGGTTCTTTCTCACTGCACAGGGACAGAAGCAAGAATACCAAGTGCTATTGAAAATTGTTCACTAACCTGCACTTAAATCTTCAAGGAAAGTTCCCTATTTTCCTGATCAGGTTGTTGCAAGGTTTCATTCCTTGTACCTTGCTTCACTCCATATATAAATAACTTTTTTTTTTAATTTAGCCATTTCCCCTCCCCTCCCCGCCAGAAACAGACAACTCTTTACTTAATATTGTCTCTATAACTGATTCTGTTTTAGTGGTTTGAAGATAATTCCTTCTCCCAGACACCTTTGGGGTTTAATGATGCAGCTGAACCTCCTTAAGAGCTAACAGGTTCTGAAAGAGAAGGTCCTGTGCTCCTGGTTCCTAACTCAGAGACTTCAAAGACATCTCTGACCTTGCAGTGACTTGCAAACACCTAGAGGGTGTAAATGTGGGGTGATTGTGTTTGCTTTTGTTTTTAAAGTTTCAATGGGCTTAATTTACTGCCATTCTAGCTTCTTCCATCAGCTTGCTTCAGGGTCACATCAGCATCACAGGGGCAGAGGGGAAAGGAGATGGGCTTGCTCCACTTGGTAGCAGGTGGCCAGTAGACCAGCTTCACTATGTCTTAAAACTATTAGTAGTCTTCTATTCTCTGAAATAAATTTGTGTTTTTTCTTGTTTTCTAAACATTGAGTTGTTGGCTGAGTCCTTTGAACTGTGTGCTTTATTAATTTGGTGACATGAACTGAATTAGCAAAAGCATTTGCTGAACTTTTGGTAGAAGCAGAAGTGTCAGTGTGGCTTCTGCCTTTCTGCACAGAGGAAATTCTTTGTTTGTGTGCATGGGGAGTTAGGGTAACTAACTCATTTCAGTTGGCAAATTACTTTTCTCTTGATTACCTTTCTGTTAAGATGAGCAAACCAGTTTTTCCAAAAGGAAAAAAGCAAAAGGATTTTTTTTTTTCCAATAGTAGACATTCTGATGTGTTAAAAAGGATAGCTGTTAAAAAATTTGACTGTAATTACAAGTACAGAAACATCAGAACTTTGTGTGCACAGACTTAAGAACAATTACGAGATTTGTATTTCCCTAACCTAGGTCTGTTTTGTGTTAAGAGTATGAATAAATTACTTGACGAACATGTTTTGTCATAGTTTTTCTAGACTTTAGGTGTATGATTTGCTTTTTGGTTTGTAGGGGTATAGAGCTAGCATGCCAATATGTAAAATGTGGTTCTTCAAATAATGTATTTTGAAATTATATAGCTAGTCAGGATCCCTACAACATACTTTTCAGGTGTTGCTCTTAGTTTATAAATTGGGCAATATTGAAACTTGTTTCTCAGGTTTTAATATAATGTTTATGGAAGTTAATGTAAATAGCTACATTGGCTGTTTTCTGAAGGGGTTGCCTGTTTATTCCCAACTGGGACATTCTAGTCAAGGCAACTGCCCACTGGAGATTTGGGCATATGAGTAGTGCAGTACCTTGGGAATAGTTGTTGCAAGTAATAAAAAGGAAAGCTCTGAGAAGCAGGTATGGAGGGTAGCAGTTGCCTATTAAACTGAGTGAAGTACAGCTGCCTGGGTGTTCAGGAAAGGATAGAGCCTACCAATTACGTGACATAATATTGCTGTTAATACATTAGTAATGCAAGCCAACAGATATTATTCTAGTATCTGATTTCACAGTATATCATGGTTACTTCCTAAGTGTTAGCTGTGCTATTCACTGGGGCTTGCTGCCTTAGTTTATTCCTGTAACATATTTCCAGTATACCAGTAAGTGTGTTGATATGTTAGCATTATGCATACTATCTGAATACTGGTGATCTGCAGCTGCATGTTCTTAAAAACTTATAAGCATTGCAGTTCATAGCTCAAGAAGATATGAAGATATTTTGAAATTATTCTAACACCTAACAAAGACATACTAGCATAACAAATGCTTGCAGAATTTGCTGCCACAAGCAACATTTAGTGAAGCAGAGTTTCACACAAGTGAAATCTGCTTTTACAGCAGAGTAAAAGGACAACAGCTGTAAATTGTGTGGGAGTTCTGCATTTTCTTGTCAAGTGTTTGGAATTAAATACCCTTTCTGACAGAACACAGATTTGATGACTGCTGTGTTTTAGAGCTGTCTCTTGCAAATTGTTCTTTTCTCTATTTTTTAGAAAAAAAATATTTGTAAAGTGATCCTTTAACATATATATATATTTAAAATTCTTAATGACTCTGTTTTTTTTCCTTCTCTTTCAAATAGTAGAATACTACAGTTTTTGTTCTATTGAGTCATGGGTTTTTGGTGACTTGCATGGTGGTAGTTAGATCTCATTCTGTTTGATTAAATAGTACTCAGGCTATCTTTTAGGCTTTTGAGCTTTCCCAGTAATACAACTTCAGTAACTGTAGTAACTTTGGAATTTTATCAGAGGTGTTTACTTTCCCATCTGCATTTTCCATGGGTACCTGGCTTTACGCTGCCTTGTATAAGCACTGGACCCTCAAAAGTACACTTAAATGCTACAGGATCTGTACCTTTGAAGAGGCAAAGTGTAGAAAATATTGCTATTCAGTTAAACAGACTTAAACTAATGTAAACTTTTTCTTGCCTTTAAGCTATTATGACTTTAACATCATTTTAACCCCCTCTTCCCCCCCCCCCCCCCCCCCCTCCACCCCCCGTTATATTTCATAGGAGCTAACTTTTTAGATGTGCTATGGTACTGTAATAGTGACAGCATAGAAGTGTTCCATGAAGATGTTAATAATCTGTCTTAAAAAATACTTTGACCTCTCTGAGGCATGTGAGATGTACAGCTATACATTGTCAATTAAAACAGTAAATGGCTTGTTAAGTGAGAGCTTTCTGGTACTCCTGAAACTTTAAGAGATTATACTGCTGTGACATTTATAAAACAACTAAAGAATTTGTGCTCTTGTGATACTGCCCTCCTGAAAAGCAGTAGCTGTTGGCATATTACTGGACAGTTTTCCACTGGAGACAGAAAGTTACTCTTTTTAGGTGTTTTATTAGTGTACTTAGTTTTTATAGAAAATAATCCTTGAGAGACATAACAAATGATTCCCAACAGCTTTATTCTTCACAAATCTTCATTCAGGCATGTACTGCAGGTTCCCCAGAGGTCAAGGACTGACAGCAGTTAAACCGAAATGCAGAATAAACTTCGTATTTCTATTAGTATTGTTGAAACATCCTTATTACAGAACCAACTTGATACCACTTCCATGAAGGTGGAGGAAAAATAAACGTGTAATTTTACTACTGCATGGCATGTCCAGGTGGTTCAAGATGCTGGCTGAATTTTTGGAATAGGTTGCAGGTACTACATTATGTCTGTTGACAATATCAGTGTTTCATATGGTGAAGTGGACAGGGTGAAAAAGGAGTGAAGGAAATTTACTGGCAGACTTTTTTCAACATTGTTAAATTAGGCCACTCCTAATTGGGGTAGGGTTGCTGTGTAAGCATGTATGAAGTAGTGTTTCATATGGTATTTAAATTTTCTACTACAGGAAAAGTAGCTTTGTCTATATCCTTGGACAAAAGCTTTTTTTATGGAAGGAAGAAGCTAGATTGTGCAAGTGGCAAAGTACAAGTATGGTAAACACTGTCATCTTTGTGCATGTTTTACAAAGGATCCCATTGTAAGATCTTATTTCCGTTTTTAAAAATATTTGACATCACTACTGCAATCCTTTGATCAACTATATACTTTCTTTTATTGCTATAAACTTCTGAGTTCATATGTAATAGTTTTGCTCACCGAGATGGTCATGAGCACTACAGAAATGTGAATAGGAAATCTGTAGATTGTACAGGAAAAATAGGTTTTCCACCAATTTTCTTTGATCAGTCACTTACGATGGATGATCTGTGAGTGTTGGCTTTGCTACTTGGAGACACAGCCAAGGGCTCCCCTCTGTAGCAGGCCACTGTGTACTGGAGAGCCTGCCTGCTGCATCTGCTTTCCACTTCTGTTCGTAGGTGCTTGTGAATGTGTCAGAAGCAGCCACCTCTTGGCTTTCCGTGCTACCAGATTTTTGTGGTACAATTTAATGAATCATTGTCTTGATGAGTATCTTTGGGCTACTGAGAAAAGGGATTTAGTATTTAGCTTTAGAGGCTTTTTGCTACACTTCTAGATTATTTTCTTTTTTAATTGATAAGGCATTAAAATATCACCATATAAAGATTTATATTTTCATCAACTGTGG